TTCCTTCTCTTTACCGTCTACTGCAACTGAATAGCAACGAGGGAGATGGACTAGCCCAAATTCTGTACCCTAACCCAGTGGTCTCCAACCTTGGCCACTTTTAAGACCTGTGGGCTTCAACTTCCAGAGTTCCTCAGCCAGCAAAGCTGGCTGAGGAACTCTGGGAGTTGAAGTCCACAGGTCTTAAAGTGGCCAAGGTTGGAGACCACTGAGTTAGGGTACAGAATTTGGGCTAGTCCATCTCCCTCTTTGCTATTCAGTTGCAGTAGACGGTAAAGAGAAGGAAGGAAGCTCGGAGGAAACGTGTCTCCTGATAGACTAGTAAAGGCTTTCTGCTTTTCTTCTTGGGACGCAGTTCCCTCAGGGCATAGAGAGTGTAACACCCCCCCCCCCCCCCAGGTTGAGCTTTGATGGAACCGGGTCCATTCCCTCAGAATCCTGGCTGCTACACGTACCCCGGAACCCCCTTGGTGTGCGGCTTCTCCTGGTTCTGGTTGCAGAGGAAGAGGGCACCACAGCTCCCTTGCTGTTTGTCCCTTTGCTTCCTAGAACGCGGTGGACAGGGTGATGAGGCACGTCCACTCCCTCTCCGGCAAGAACGACGGCCTGGTGCCCATGTTTATCAACACCAACAGCGGGCAGTTCACCCACCTCGGAGTCTACACCCTGGGGGCTCGAGCGGACAGCTACTACGAGTATTTGCTCAAGCAGTGGATCCAGGGAGGGAAGAAGGAAAACGAGTAATTCCTTTTCAAATCCCCTTCCTTCCTTCCTTCCTTCCTTCCTTCCTTCCTTCCTTCCACGCCTGGCAGGGTTTTCCGTGGAGAATCCTAGGGCTTTCCCTGCAAGCTTCGTAGTGGACGTTGGGTGGATTTGAAGCCAGGGTGGGAATAACTAGTTCATTCTCACAGCCAGGAAAGCTTCCCTGCAGGGCTGAAGATAACCACAAATGAGCCAAATGCAAAAAAAATTTGGGAGGCACGAATGATGCAGCACCCCAGGGCCTTGCTAGCAGCATCCCAGCCTTCTAATGTTGGTGCCTTCTGCCCCCCCCCCCTCCCCAGGCTCCTGGAAGACTATGTGAAGGCTATCGAGGGCGTGAAGACGCACCTGCTCCGGAAATCTTATCCCAAAAGGCTGAGCTTTGTGGGGGAACTCGCTCACGGCCGTTTCAGTGCGAAAATGGTGAGCCTTCTTTTAGGGATGGGGGGGAGCAGAGCGGCTTCCTTTCCCCCCACAATTCTGCCCTTACCGAGTGTCTTGCGGTGAGTGGGTGGAATAAGGCAGAGTCTCTTGCTTCCTCTTCCGTGTTTACCAAGAGGGTTGCTGAGCCGTTGGGCATGTTTCCTCTCCCAGTTTCTGAACGGCAGCGGATGGACTGGCTGAATGAGTCAGGTTTCAGGCTCCCAGCCAGCGGTGCGTTTGCAGCCCTTCTGCTGGGCCTTTCAGTCCCGTGGAGAATCGGATCCCCCGCTGGACTGCCAGCACCTGCATTTCTCATAACTGCCTGCGCAGATCCCCCCCCCTTCCTTCTTCGCTTCCACTGACACATCAGCTCCTCTCTTTCGAACAAGGCACCCCTTCTCAGAGGTGCCACAGGAAGGCAGCTGGCAATGCAGCCAGCCACGCGTGGCGTGCAGGGAGCCCAGGAGCGCCCCCTCCAGAGCTACTGCAGAGGAGAGGCCCTTGGGCAGAGGAAGTCTGGATCCCACAAGCTCTCTCCTCCCTCTGTGTCTCCGGAGCAGGATCACCTGGTCTGCTTCTTGCCTGGAGTCCTGGCCCTCGGCGCTCACAACGGGCTCCCTGCAGATCACCTGACCCTGGCGGCGGAGCTGGCGGAAACCTGCTACCAGATGTACGCGCAAGTGGAGACCGGACTGAGCCCCGAGATCGTCCACTTCAACATGCACCCGCAAAAGGACCGGAAGGACGTGGAGATCAAGGTGAGGAGCCGATCCTGCCCTGTGCGCCAATCAGGGCAACTCAGAGCCTGCCCTGCGGTGGGCTTCCCAGCCACCCCCAGGCCCAGAAATGCCCTTCAGCTTCCCTTCTGCTCCCCTTTCCCCAGACCGCCGATAGGCACAACCTCCTGCGTCCCGAGACGGTGGAGAGCCTCTTCTACCTCTATCGCTTCACCGGCGATAAGAAGTACCAGGATTGGGGCTGGGAGATCTTGCAGAGCTTCAACCAATACACCCGGGTAAGCCTGGTATTAAATATTATGGATGTTTAGCTAAAACAGGATATGAGGATTTAATGTTAATGGATGATTTTACAAATAAGTAAATGAAATGTCAGTATGTGGTTATGTATTGAATCTTGGTATATTTAAGGATGATGTTTAAATAACTATAGGCAAATAAAAGTGGAGGTATGATGATGTTAATATAGTAAATATTTGAGTTAAGATATTTGAATTAATATGAATTGTATTTGATGACGGTGGAAGAGATGCACAAAAGCCTTTTGTAACTGATACACTTTCTACAATATGTAAAGAAGGAGGAGTTGTATATTTGTTTTGAAAATAAATAAATAAATAAAAAATACACCCGGGTAAGCCTGAGCTTAAGGCAGCCCAGGCCGCCTGCTTCAGCAACGGGGGTCCCATCAGAGGGAGCGAGGAGAGGAGGAAACCCCCCACCCACCCAGCCGGGGAGAATTGGCTGGGGTAAAGCGGGCTTTTTCCTAATTCAAGGTTTTTATTTTTTAACACAAATTTTTAACATATTTTATAAACAAAGTGTTGTCCGGGTCTTTTACATCGTATACATAATCCATTTTATATCAGGTTCTTTTTTTCAATTTCAGTCATATTATTCCTTTTCCATATTTTTAACTTAAACTTATTTTCTTCTTAATATATAAACATCACTAATCGCCCTAATTTCTAATCTCTTACAATAGTATCAA